AACTTCACACAGTATATCTTTTTCTCTCAGATTGACAACCCTCATTATCTTCTTATTTCCACTAGTTTTCATTTCACCATCAAATTTATTCTGTATTTCGACAGTTTCAGAAATTCCGCTTCTAGAATCCAAGAGAGTTCCTACATTCACCTCTTTGAAAGGATCTAGATCAGCATATCCAAAGTACAGAGTATCAGCTTTTTTTAGGAAGGCAATATTGTCGATATCAAGGAATGTTCGCCCTAATAAACCGTCTGTATCTTGGGCTTCGTCCGGAACAACAAGGAACGTGACATCCTCTTCAATAACATCATCAACTTTGATGCTCATATGAATTTTGCCTCAGGTTTGTATCAGGTTTTCCTTTAGTGTGCACAGTGTAAGTCCAGATCAGTTCAATCACTACTTCTCCAATACTGCTAATATTTTACTTCATGATGTAAAACACTCAACGGAGGATGTCCCATTTCAGTCTCACTGGGACCTAAATGTAACTTTCTCTTTTAGAGAAGTGAGCATCATTCAGGTTAGAGATATAATTAGATCTCTAAAAAATAAAAATTCTAGAGATGTATTTGGTTTGAATGTTGGAATTGTTGAAGTTGTGTGTGAGCAAATTGTTATCCCCTTGACAAAAATAATCAACATGTGTCTAAAAGAAAATTGTTTTCCAGATTGCCAAAGAGGCCATTGTCATTCCGATATTCAAAAAGGGTGATAGGGAGGAAGTTTCAAATTACAGGCCAATTTCCTTACTTCCAATATTTTCAAAAATAATAGAAAAATGTATGGCTGTGCAGATGACTGAGTATCTGGAGAAAAATTTAATGCTAAGCGAACAACAGTTTGGGTTCCGCGGCGGTCGCAGTACCGTGCTCGGCATAACTTGGTTGCCTTCATAATGGATGGTTTTGAAAACAGAGAGCATACTGGCACTGTTTTCTGTGATCTTAGTAAGGCATTTGACTGTATGTCATGTTTGCGTTTCGATAGCCTTTTTGGTTCGAAGAAAAATGGACTTTATCACAAAAATTGTAAACTTTATAGCAAATATTGAACTATAGCAAATGCGGAAAAAATTGAACGAGTTGCACTAGATAACGACTCACCACTGTTAAATCACTTCGGATGTTGGTTCATTCAACGAGCAAATCCTCTGACTTCTCAAAGGGGCCCCTTTTGGCATGAGGGAAGATGTGCTGTAGTCACCATGAAGAAACCGGCGGCTCGTCCAATGGTGGCAATGGTTATCCAGATATACACAAAGCACGCACACAAAAAGTCTACAGCTGGAAGCTACTAAACTAATAGCTGTATCGCGGGTAGATTATGCATAAGTAAGCAATAACTTGCTATATTGCGAATGCAGGAATGCAATAATTAATAGAATTAGAAATACATACACCAACCGGGTGACATGTGCGGAGCAGTTCGTCAGAAGCACGGTGCTCAGTAATAAGATTGAAGAGCTACTGAACTGCGCAGGGCGCAGGTGAGAAAAATGAATATCTCTCCGGCTCGAAGGACCAAATGTTTGCGTTTCGATAGCCTTTGTGGTTCGAAGAAAAATGGACTTTATCACAAAAATTGTAAACTTTATAGCAAATATTGAACTATAGCAAATGCGGAAAAAATTGAACGAGTTGCACTAGATAACGACTCACCACTGTTAAATCACTTCGGATGTTGGTTCATTCAACGAGCAAATCCTCTGACTTCTCAAAGGGGCCCCTTTTGGCATGAGGGAAGATGTGCTGTAGTCACCATGAAGAAACCGGCGGCTCGTCCAATGGTGGCAATGGTTATCCAGATATACACAAAGCACGCACACAAAAAGTCTACAGCTGGAAGCTACTAAACTAATAGCTGTATCGCGGGTAGATTATGCATAAGTAAGCAATAACTTGCTATATTGCGAATGCAGGAATGCAATAATTAATAGAATTAGAAATACATACACCAACCGGGTGACATGTGCGGAGCAGTTCGTCAGAAGCACGGTGCTCAGTAATAAGATTGAAGAGCTACTGAACTGCGCAGGGCGCAGGTGAGAAAAATGAATATCTCTCCGGCTCGAAGGACCAAATGTTTGCGTTTCGATAGCCTTTGTGGTTCGAAGAAAAATGGACTTTATCACAAAAATTGTAAACTTTATAGCAAATATTGAACTATAACAGATTGAGATATAGCAGATTGATATGTCATTGTGTCAGCGCTACGAGATAGATGTCGTTTTAGTGCAACTATATTGAATGCGCGGAAATAGAATGATATTATAAAATAAAACTTATTAATTAAGAACCTCAAAGGCTTTCCTGAACATGTCACATGAACTGCTCATCAGAAAGCTGAAGTACTATGGGTTCAATGTAAATAGCATTGAACTCATAAATTCATATTTGAAAAATAGAGTCCAAAGAGTAGTGGTTGATGGGGTGTCGTCAGGGACAGGAGTAGTCGATATAGGAGTTCCCCAGGGGTCCATACTGGGACCACTTCTTTTCTTAATTTACATTAACAACCTTGCCTTGTATAGGCAATACAGAACGATATGTCCTGTTCGCTGATGACACCACAATTTCAGTTAGGGATTCTGACTTGGCAAGTTTAATGGATGAGGTCTGTGGGGCGCAGTCCAGGGCTGAAAACTGGTTTCGGAACAATAGTCTTATACTGAACAACTCGAAGACGAGCCGTATGATATTCTCCTTGAGAGAAGTACCTACGGACTGCACACTCTCCCGTGAGGCAACAAAATTCTTGGGGGTGCATCTTGACACTGGTCTTCGGTGGGACACCCATATAGAGTCTCTTTCAAAGCGTTTAAAAAGTGGCATTTTTGTGTTGCGAAATTTATCAGGCATAGTTTCAGATGGGGTGTTGCGAACTGCATACTTTGCGTTATTCCACTCACTGGTGTCCTATGCCATTGTTGCTTGGGGCCATGCCCCACAGTGGCGCAGAGTGTTCTCCTTGCAGCGCAGAGCCGTGCGGATTTTGAGCTGCCTTGGGTATCAGGATGATTGCAGAGATGCTTTCATTGATAATAAAATATTAACATTTCCAAATATGTACATATTTGAAAACCTTTTATACATCAAATGCAACTTAGACCGGTACTCGGAGGCTGGCGAAATGCATCAGCACGGCACTCGAGGCAGGGAGCAGCTCTCGGTACCTTTGTGGAGGCTGGAAAGGTGTCGGAGTGGAACAAATTATTGGGCTGTGAAATTTTTCAATAAATTACCAGAAAGTGTGAGAGCACTTCCTGATAAAATGTTTAGGGGAACGGTACACGAAGTATTGCTTAGGAATCCCTTCTACGACAAAGAAGAATTTCTCAATTTTACTTGGAACTAATTGTTTTTATGTTGCTAAATCCTCAAAACTGATTTTTTACTTAATATTTTAACTTGTATTGTATTGTCACTCGATGTACCAGGTCTTAATTTGTATTTTATATTCAACTGTTGTTTCTGAATATCTATAAGTATTTTCTTGTATGAAATTTTTAATTTGTAATTTTGACTTGTGTAAACGCTTTTTGTGTATTAGCACCAATAAATTATGAGTATGAGTACTGCACTACCCGTATCCACAAACGCAATGAGGGCAATTGCACCATCCAAGATCACAGTCTTATTAAACTTCGAATGAGTGCGATTATAATTATTGTTTATCGTTTTGATAGAATAATCGGTTGTATGAACATTCATTGAATAAGTGACCTTCTTGTTTGCAGCCAAAGCATACCATATTGGGTCTAGAACACTGATTTGCCAGATGCTTATACAAACCACATTTGAAACATCTCCTTGCAGGTCGATTCATTGTGGCTGCATCAGGTTTTACAAAATTCTTGAGTTTATCACTGGATATATTACTGATTGACATTTCTTCTGCATTGTTGAAACTTCTTTCATAACTGCTTGAATGATCAGATTGACAATATCGGTCGCATAAGTGATATCTATTTTGACGCCAATCTGTATATTTGATTTTTTCGGCTGACACAATATCCTGACATAAAACGTCGAAGTCACCATAACGTTTCGAAATCAGAGATGCTGCAATATCTCTGGAGATGAGACCACATAAAATCTCTTCCTTCATTTCGTCGAAATCTAAATTTAGAGCTTGACACAGGTTCAGCTTTTCGTAGAAATAAGAAACCACTGACTCATTACGATATTGTCGTCGTCCCCGCATTATTTCCCATTTATCAACAGTTCGGTGATTTTGTCTATAGGATCGTTGGAATTCTTTCTTGAAATCTTCCCAGGATTCAATCAAATCTTGCTTAGTCTTATACCAAAATATGGCAGGACCCCTCAGGTGAGCCCTAGCTGTCTCCAAAATGTAGTTATCAGGCCATCTGTTCAGAGTAGCGCTAGTTTCGATGTTTTTTATCCAATCGGTTGCTCGTGGCACGTCTTTATCGCCATCAAAGAATCCAATGACTTTGCTCAGATCTGACATTACATGAAATGTAGCGGCGGCGGCTGCCTGTCCTGGTGTATTTGTGAGATCCGGAACTTGTCCATTGTTATAAGGTTGCACTGCTAATCGTTCAACTAGTCTGGTAAGCATCTCGTCTCTTCTGCGTCCCTCTGCGATCATCATTTCAAACATTCGACCCATGATGGCATCATTACCTGGGCTAGTATTTGGAAGCTGTAAACTTGATTCACCTCCAGCATTTCCTGGGCAATTTTGGCTAGTATTGACATTTTCCTCCGACATATTTGAAAATTTTCGTTTTTTTTTTGTTTTCAGGCGTTCGTATCCCTCTTCTGATATGTAAACTCAATTATTCTGGGGCCACTCAGGCTTACTTTCAGCAGCAAATGTATATTAAAGAAATTACTTCAAGTCCAACTTTCAGTATTTATTAAACAACAACTTCTCCCGTTGCCGGGATACAAAATTGCTTACAATTGTGTTTGGTGGGAGAGCAGGTTGAAAAATCAAGAATCTTGACCGAGTCTAGTGGCACAGGAATGCAGCCATTGTCTTTTGAGACAATAACCATCGATCCAAGCACCACAAATGTATTGGTACCAACAAATGTATCGAGAAGTGCTTCGGAAGAATACAGCGAAGTAACATCATATCAAAATTCGAAACATTCATTCACGGAACTCATTGACAATGAACTCGACAATGAACAAGTCCAGTCGATGCCAGAAGCTGTTGCTCAGAACAATATTCTACTGAATCCCGTCAACGAATCAAATAGTTTAACAGCAGCAAGCACAAGTTCAAGCACCTCATCTGATTCTAGCAATAGCTCATCAGATTCTAGCAACGATCTACCGGTGGCAAAAAATACTACATCTACTGATTTATCAGCACTTTCAACAGTATCCAACAACACTCAAGGTGCTATTAAATACTTACTGCAAGGAGCAGTACATAATATGGAAGATAATCAAGAGGGTAATGTTGCGAGAATAGGACGAAAAAGAAAGTCGAATTGCAATAAATGGGCATGCGTACAAGCTGAGATTTCGAGGAATAGTGGAAAGTCGTATACCTCAAAGCACAAGAAAGTTGTGCCCGGTAGGTCACTGAAACCACCATGTGGTGATAAATGTAAATTGAAATGTACCAGTAAAATATCAGATGCACAGCGAAAAGAGCTTTTTGATAACTATTGGGCCATGGCAGATTTGCAAAGACAAAGCGAATTCATACTACGACACATCTCAACTGTTACGCCAAGATATTCCTATAAAGTTCATAACAGCAACCGAGGAAACAACAACGCATTCTATTTAACGGTGGATCAAAAGAGAATCAGAGTCTGCAAACAATATTTCAGAGCCACGTAGGACATATCTGATCGGCCCATCAGAACTGTAATTGAAAAGAAAAAGGAGTATGGAGCTTTAGAAGTGGATCAACGTGGAAAACACCAGAATCATCACTCGATAGATCCTGCCATTGAAGAAGGTGTCAGAAAGCACCTCGACTCTATCCCAAAAATTGAGAGTCACTATTGTCGAGCAGACACAAAACGACTGCACATCGATGGTGGAAAGACAGTAGCAGATTTGCATCGAGATTATGTTGCTGAATGTGAATCTAAAAACTTACCAAGCGCAAATTATATTATGTAATACAATATTGTCAACTATGAATATAACATTTCATTCCTCCAGCCAAAAAAGGACCAGTGTGAAGACTGTACATGTTTTTCTATTGCATCTGAAGAAGAGAAAGCTGGGTTGAAAAAACATTATGACCAACATTTGAAAAAAAAAAGTATTTATCAAGGCAAGAAAAAGACAATGATAAGAAGAATAGTCCGGATAATTGTATAATTTCTGTGTATGATCTGCAAGCCGCAAGGCCGTGTCCAACAGGTGATGTATCGAATTTCTATTACATCTCCAAATTGAACTCCTATAACTTCACACTGTGCAATTTGAAAAACAAAGATGTGAGTTGTTTCATATGGCATGAAGGCGAAGCCAAGAGAGGAGCTATTGAGATAGGGACATGTGTGCTGAAGTATATTGAGAGTATGAAACAAACTGCCGAATTGCTTCATGATAAATTGGATCTGATATTTTATTCCGATAATTGCTGTGGACAGCAAAATAATCATTTCATCATAGCTCTTTATATATATGCAGTTCATCACATTGATTTCATTAATTCAATCACCCAAAAGTTCCTAATCAAAGGCCATACTCAGAATGAGGGCGACAGTGCGCATTTTGTCATTGAGAGGCAAATTCAAAGAAGTCTGAAATCAGGACCAATATTTACACCTGATCAGTATTCCCAAATAATAAGAAATGCAAAGAAACCTGGAAAAGCATACCAAGTCAATGAATTGAGTCATGATGACTTCGTTGATGTAAAAGGTTTAGCAGCTACTATAGGAAAGAATTATTCAAAAAATACAGAGAATGCAACGATAAAGATGAGAGACATAAAAGTCCTCAAGGTAGAGTTAGATGGTACAGAAAATTATTCATTTCACTACAAGACCTCTTATGGAGATGATCAGTGCAAGAAAGTTATAGTTGACAAGATAGGAAAGACAAGAATCAGTAACAACAATAATATTAGATTGAAGAAAATCTACAAGAGTAAGATGATAGTGTGTGAGAAAAAGAAGAATGGTTTGCTTGAATTAGTGAAGAAGAATGTTATTCCAAAATTTCATTCATCATTTTTTGAAAATTTATAAAAATGCTCATGGCTCATAGCTCCCCTAAGATTTTTTTATTTCATTTTGTGTTCAATGTTGGGTAACATATTTTATTTGTGACCGTTGACTTGTATCGAAATGTTCAACCAGAAAAACTAGACTGGTGTTTTTTTTTAAATTCATTTTTCTTTTTGCAGGCAAAATAAACCCAATTATGTCGTTTTGAAAAAAACGTGCGTTCATTTTGTAGACATTTATTTTTTGATAAGTGACCCAATTGCTTCCAGGTCATTGTTTTAGAAAGGAGAAGTTTCAAGTTCTGAATCTATACCAATCGTGTATGTGTTGGAGAATTGATAGAAGTGACAAAGGATCCCGCACTTTTAGTACGTAAAATGGTTCTCGGTGAAATTTTCTGAATTTTCAGTATGTTGTAGAATTGAATGAACTGATTGAACCTGCAGAATCGTGAAGTTCTTTGATGAACAGATTCTGAGATACAGGGTGTTGAAGTTACAAATCGGTATTTTTCATTTAATTATTTTCTCGAAATTCAAAGATGCCAATGCCAAGTACAATTTTTTTCGCTCATATCATCAACGAACCTCCATATTACTCAACATAATTCAGATGGTTTAGATAATGTAATTGTTCACAAAGTGAAACATATAAACATTTCAGTGATGTCTGAAAATTCGATGTAATAATGCAATATCGAAAAAATAATTTAAGCATGCAATATACTATTCTCATTCCATCATGAATCACAATTTCTACATTTCATACAGGGTCATTTGAAAAATTGGTGACACCTAAGACCGATTTATTCATACACATCCTGTATATTCGAGTGAATTGTTAACCTCCCAAGATAGCTGATATCGTATGAACATGCAAACATTGTGAAAAGTCAGTTGTTCATGCTGTGAAGTGCAAAAAGTGTAATCTCATCTTCCATCCTCGGTGCTTGATTCAAGCAGCTCAAGCAAAAAGTGCCGTATGCAGACACGAAGTGCAAAACGATGCATCCAAGGATTCATCAGACAGTGAATGTGAAACTGATGAAGACAATGAAAATCGTGACAAGTTATTAGAAAGGTACATAGCTGAAAACAAGCTTCTACGTAAATTAGTGAAGGAGTTAGAATCCAAATGCGATATTCTGAACGAAAATTGCAGTTTGTTGAAAGAAAAAATAACATTTGTCACTGAAAAACAGGTCAGCTAACAAATTGAATGAGCTTCAAAACCTTGGAAATGAGGATGAAGAACATTGGAAGGAAGTTGAACCTAGAAGATCAAGGAATAATAATAGACGTTTCGTTGTTGGTCGGAATGATGAAAACACTGGCATCAGTACGGTCGCAAAACTTGTATCTCTTCATGTCACAAGGCTCCACCCCACAACAAAGCCTGATGACTTGAAGAAAATCTTAATCAACAATTTTCCGGAAGTGTCCTGTGAAAGTCACATGTCCAAACATCCTGAATTGTATGCATCCATGAAGTTGACCATTAGACAAGAAAATTTTACTAAAGCCTGGAAGCGTGATATATGGCCTACTGGAGCACTTGTATCGCGTTTTTTTGTAATGAAAAGGACGATGCCGCACATACAAGAGGAGGCAGGTACACAATCACTTCTGAACAAGTCCTAAGAATAGATGATAATTATTTGAAGATTTGTCATGTTAATATACAGTGTCTTGCAAATAAGGTAAATGAATTGAACGTTTTCACTGACATTTCAGATTTCGATGTTATTTGTCTGTCTGAACACTGGCAATCAGCTGACAACCTGTCTACCATAAATATTAGTAATTATTATCTTGCAGCACAATTTTGTCGTGAATCACTTCAACATGAGGGTGTTGCTGTGTATTGTAGGAACAGTTTAAATGCAAAAACTCTGAATCTGAGCAAGTTCAACAAAGAATTACATTCTGAGTTCTGCGGCATACTCTTGCAGTCCCTAAACATTGTGATAATAGCCCTCTACAGGTCATGTTCAGGAGATGTGAATCTATTCATCAACAACTTGAAAGATCTGATTTCCACTTTTTCCAAACAAAACAAAAGAATTGTACTGGTTGGGGATTTCAACATAAATTTCACTTCCATGTCGTTACCGCTTCTTAATTTGAAATGTATGCGACAATATTTTGGATTGGAAATAATGATCTCAGATTACACAAGAGTCTCTGCAAGATCCGCAACCTGTATTGATAATATAGTTTCAAACTTTACTGCATGCACTTCTAGAGTTGGTGTATTATTAGACCCCTGTTTATCTGACCACAAGGGTCAATTTTTATTTCTTTCAATGAATAAACATACAGATCTTGATTACAGTAGTAGCTTAGAAACAGTCAAAATCATATCTGATGCGTCTGGATGCTTACAAGACATCGAAATTTATAAGCAGATGAAAAAAATGTATCACCGCGAACTAAATGAACAAAAAAAAACGAACCTATGATGACTACATTATAAACTCCACCAATAAATCAAAAGCTTGCTGGAACATAATAAATTCGGAACGAAATATTGTGAATGGAGGTAAATATGTTAATGAAATCTCGAATAATGATTTCAATGATTATTTCTGTACTATAGCTGAAAAAACTATACAATCTCTTCCGCAATTAGGTCCCGATGAAGAATACAATTTTAAAAAATTTCCTTCTCCTGTAGAGACCTTTTTTTTAGAACCTGTCTGTCAACATGAAGTTAACATTGCAATCATTAAATTGAGCAATTTTAGTTCTCGAGACATCCACGGTTTCAATAGCTACCTGATTAAAGAAATAGTAGATTAAATCCTCAAACCATTAACAGATCTGATAAACCTGATTTTCAGCGAAGGAATTTTTCCTGATGCACTAAAAATTTCCAGAGTCATTCCAATTTTCAAAAAGGGTGATAAGTCATCTATGGACAATTATCGACCAATTAGCATCATTTCTATCATTGGTAAAATTATCGAAATACTTTTGAAAGATCGTCTCTATTCTTATTTTGAAAATAGATTCTATTTCAGTGAATCACAATATGGCTTTCGCAAGAATAAATCTACCACTCAGGCTGCTTTCAGCATAGTAAGTGACATAGTTGAGGGCCTTGATCATGGCAGACATACTTCATTAACATTATGTGACCTGACAAAGGCCTTTGACTGTGTATCACATGAGATACTCATTCAAAAATTGAGTCAATACGGATTGAGAGGGAAAGTTTTAGATCTCATTAGTTCTTACCTCAACAGTAGATATCAATGTGTTGATTCAAACAATGACAAATCAGAACTCAAACAAATCAAATATGGTGTACCTCAGGGTTCCGTTCTTGGACCGTTTCTGTTTCTCGTATATATAAACGACCTATGTCAGTCTATTGCACCTATAAAATGCATCCTATTTGCGGATGACACGACTCTAATATGCACCAATAACATAAATGCCACCTTAACTCAAACTGCTGGTCACGCAGAAAATATGGCTAAAAGCTAGTTCACCGAAAACAAACTCAAATTGAATGAGAAGAAGACTCAAAACTTAATAGTCTCCTCTAATCCTCTTCATCAAAATGGAAGGTATCTTTTTTGGGTATTATAATCGATGATCGTTTAAATTGGTCCTGTCATGTAGAATATGTGCTTCCTAGGCTATC